ATCGACGAGGAAGTTGCTACTGTTTGTTTTGCTGTATCGAGTATTTTGTGGGACAAACCCATGATAATTGGTGCAAGTATTTTGGATTTGTCGAAAAGATTCATGTTTTACTTTCATTATCGGCAAGTGAAAGCAAGCATGAATCTTGAACTGCTATACAGTGACACAGATTCGTTTATTTATGCGATAAAAACCGAAGACGTATACGCAGATCTGCAAAAACTGACCGATAGTTTCGATTTTTCCAACTACCCAAGCGATCACTTCTTATTCAGCAATGTGAATAAGAAGGTTGTATTGAAATTTAAGGACGAGGCGGCGGGAAAAATCATTGCAGAATTCATCGCGTTGAAACCAAAGTTCTACTCGTTGAAATATGCAGGTTAGTATTGAAAAAAAAAGCACCTCTCCAAGCCCCCTCCATTTCTTTACATTAAGGGTTCCCTTCAATGGGGTTTTGGATCTTGTTGGGACCAAATTAATAACTTTTGCTGATCCCTGTCAATTTAATTAGACATAACTAGCCCTGAAAGGCTCTGATTCTTCAGTTAAAAACTTAAAATGAAGAACCATTCATCATTTAAAATGTTTTAAACAAATACTCACCACAAACGCACTTTTGTAACTTTTGACGTGAACAAATTTAAAATTTTGACATGGAATGATTTTTTGATAATGACACGATTTGGAATTTTTATGATTTGGAATAAATTAGGATATTTAAAATTTTGGAATTGAAAAAATTGGAATGTTATTAGATATTGAGTCTTCAAAATATTCAAATTTGGGAACCGTTTTCGTTATTAATACTAGAACTGGGCTTACAAAGCTAAAATATGTTTATGGGCTAATCTTTGTTCTTCATTTAGATTCAACTAGCAAAAGGAGTGCAAAAGGAGTAGTACAACACTCCCAGCAGCAACTTACACACCAGAGGTTCAGGGAAACATTACTGAGTGGAAAAACGCTTCGTATATACAACTACTCAATAAAATCGAAAGCCCATACCAACATAACCATAGCGCAGAACCGAATTGCCCTTTCACCCTTCGATAGTAAGCGGTTCTTACTATTCGACGGGATAGCTACATTGCCCTTTGGACACAGGTCTACAGAAGAAAATGTGTTCTTCGAGGCCATTGCGGAAGAAAGCGAGTGGGCAAACTCACAGTTGACAAATACCCCGACTTATAGCAGCGAAAACAGCGAAAGCTGGCAATCGCCGGAATTCCGGGTCCCAGATTGGGGCTTTCTTCAAGAAAGCTATACGGAGGAAGAGCTTCAAGAAGAAAGCGCAGCTAGCAGTTCAAGAGACCCTCCGCCTATCAATAATCCATTCATTCTAACAGAAGCGTCTGTTCGTTCTAGTCAGAAAAAAAGGAGAAAACTTGATAAAGTTGATCAATAAAATTTTTCACTTGAAAATGTCGGCTAAATTGCCTTGTTACTTGGAATTACGGCTGTACATTTGTAAATATAAAACATTCAACAAACATTGTTTTAAGTTAAATAGACCGGCGCAAAAGAGACTGGTAATTGCAACTTACCCTTGAAGCAGGAGCGAAGGATTGAAGCAGGAGCGAAGTTTCCCAAAGTAAGCTAATAGTAAGGCTAAAAGAATCAAAATGGTGCAAGTCGAAATTAAGGGAGACTTGGAAATAAGTTTGAAAATAAAATAAGAAAGAGAAACGAACAATAATTACCAAAATTTTTTAAAAGGAAATATGAATGGTACTTTATGTAAACTCATATTTATATGAACGAAAAGGATTAGCTTTTAGATAAAAATAAGCGAAAAAACCGCAGCCGGATATACCCATACTTATTTAGTGGTGGGAAAGTTTGGAAGGGATTAAATTTAACCACCGCGCGAAAATAAATACCAAAGTATTTTGTCTGACGGGTGTCCTAAGAGAGGGGTCTTTTTATTTCGGGCAGGGTACTTTGAGGTCTTTAAAAAAGATGGGTCCTTTTGGACCCTACTTTTGGTAGGACCCCAAAGACCCCTACCGTCGAAAAGACCCCCCCCCTAAGGACACACGGCGGATTACAATACTACTCGTGATGGTATTATACTAAAACCATTTCGGCCGTCATTCGGATTACAAAAATGTGTATGTTTCTAGAATAATTGTTATGATTTTTTAACGTTTTTCTAACTGCATGACACAAAATTTGCAAATCACGTGGTAGGAGATTGGGTTCTGAGTTTATCTCGCAAGAAACTTTCGAATGTTGTGTTATACTACGAGTCCCTTTTTTCAATCAATTTGATATAAAATTGATAATTTTGATGACACAGCATTGGTAAATTTAGTAGCCTATGTTTACCCGCATTTTTGTGTGCTCGATAAATGCAAGAGCACATGGAATATATGACAGGACATGGGACCCTTAATCCCTTGTTTTGGTGTTTTTTTTCTATCACATGGCGAAAGTTTTATTTTTGAAGGAACATTTTGTCTTTTATTTTTTAAATTATTTTTTGAGCCAATTTTTAGCGTTGTCTCGCTTGTGTTTGCGAAGTCCTGTGAGTTTTTGTTTTGCGAAAATTTAACAGTAATTGAGCTGTTTTTTCTCATTTGACATATTTTTAATTAATTTAATAGCCTTTACTGACATTTTTCCTAAATTTATTGTTTTTTAAGAATATTCGTTCTTTAGTTTTTGTGGTTGTCCGTTTTATGTTTTGAAACGCGATGGTCTTAAGGTAGAGAAAGCTGGTTAGTTTTTGAAGTATTCAGGCGCCGATAGGATTCGCAAATCTTGTTTGCGCAATCGAGTTTTTTTCAGAGTCGACAATTTTAGGCTGAAGTTTTGAGCAAATTTCTTGTGTTTATTTAAAATATTGACCCTGCTACAGTGCGTCTTACGCTTTCGATTAGCCAGTGTTGCCAAATCTGAATATGGATTTTTTTCGGTTTAACAAGTAGTGTAACAAAATCAGTTAAGTCATTGCCCTTGCGAAAGCAAGTCTCTTGTAATCGGGAACGACTTTTTTTCTCGTGTGAAGTTGCTTTATTAGTCAACCTTGGCAACTTCTATTTTTCCACTTGGCTTTGAGGTAATGGGGATGCCTTTGCACTCTAAGGTACGGGGCTCGAAACCCGGCCAGACCTTGTTCTTCTTCAGTAGTATGAAATCGAATTATTTTTCCAAAGAAAACTGAATTGCCTGATTCACACCGGGTAATTTTCTTGTGCTGTTAGAAGCTTTCATTGCATATGGAAGTGTGTTTGGTTTACTTCTGTAATTTGTTTACTCCTGTAGCAGTTCTTTGTGCATTTTCCTTGATTTTCGTTTCTTTTTCGCTTAAAAGCTTCATTCGGCCTAAATGGTTTCGGCTTATTTTTTATCGGCTTAGTTGCCTTATTTGGCGCGGCTTCACAGCAAAAAATGATGGACTCTTTTGACAAAATCAATTAGTTTTGCTGCAAGTTTTCAAAGTTTTAAAACTTCATTGCTTAAATATTTTTATGACAACAATTTCTAATGGAATTTTTTTTGGCTCAATAGGCGTTTTCCTGCTGTTGTCGGCTTAGATGCCGCTCGGTAAAAACTATAAGCTTATTTTCTACTGTTGGTTATGTTTTTCGACTGTTTTTTTTTAAATTGTCTTCATTTTTTTCCAATTTTTTTTTTGATTTTTTTAATTTCCGTTTCATTTTCTATTCGCTGTCTTGAAATGCCGCGCCTGCTTTGATGCAAAGCCTTGCTTCATGGTTGTCGACTAAGCTCTGTTGCCTGTGTTTTCAATTTTTGTAGTCCATTTTGAATACGCTGCATAAATGGCTATCGTTGATCCTATGTGGGGCGTTACATGCAATTTGTTGCAAAATGATTTTTCGTGTAGCGTTTTTGAGTTCGACGCGACCCCGGCAATATTTTTTTGGATGCTCGTAATTAACTCACTGGGACTTAAAATAAAAGAAAATTCCTTGATTACAGTTTGCGCGTCATAGTGCTTTAATCCTATAATGGTTGTATCGCAAGGCGTGCGAAGCTCAGCATCACCTCTATTTATTATTGCGCATTATTTGCAAAAGCTAGAAATGAGCATATTTAGCAGAATAAAACAGACGTGTTCAGTATGTTTCGGTGTCAAATTTAAAAAAATTAGTGCAATGTTTGAAACACACGTGCAATAATGGCTAAACTAGTGTAATATTTGAAATCCTAGTTCTTGCATTTCTTTCTTGGTACAATCAACCAAAACAAATTCGCAAGAAAAAATTGCTTGTTAACTTGAAAACTTTTTCAAATATGAGTTATTTTTTGATTTTTTTTCTACATGTGTTACATTCCAGATAAGCAGCAGCTTGCATTGCACCTAGAAATTCGTTCACGACACGACACGAATCGTGTCTCGATTCATTCACAAAATTTGTCGATGCAATATATAGCTGTTGAAAATATATCTACTAGAAATTATTTGCGCGGATGAAGTTCTAATCTCAAACATGGTTTTAATCTCAAACATGGTGCCTTTTGTCGTAGGTCGAATGTACTAACGGGCATAGTGGATAGCCTGGTTAATTGTGAACTACTAAACGTTTCGTACCATGCCTTCGGTAAAAGAAAGTAAGTTTACATATGAGGATGAATAAAAATCAGAAATTAATATTTTGCGATGTTAAAAAGGTGTTCCCAGCGTCTCATCTTTTATTGCAGACAATTCAAATTATTCGCCAATTTTGATTAAAGCTGTGTGTGTTTGAGCGGTTGAATAAGTGCTCAGGGTCGAAGAATTGCTCATATCTTGGTCTATTTAGGGCAGTCTTATGAATTTTCCAAGCAAGGTGGGGCGTTTTTTTAAGAAACCGCCAAAATTTCCCAAATATGGGGTTTTGAGCGGCCATAGAATTAATTTTATCTTGATATTATCTGTAGGGCAGTTTTATGAAAGCTTCCAAGCAAGTTTGAGGCGTTTTTCTTTATGGCAATTTTTTCTAAAGCGGGTTTTGAGCGGTGTTTCTACTTAGTTCAATGGTGTTTTGTAGATCAGGTACATCAACTTAGAGAGACAGCCTCAAAAGAGAATAAACATCGAGAGTGAGCTAGGAAGAGTGTTCGACGGTTACGTTGCAAAAAGAGTGGAAGCTGTGGACGGCATGTAAGTTTCTCATGTCTTAGCATAGCTGGGAGATGATTCATGTTTTAAAGCTTTCTCCAGGAACATCGAAGAAAAATATTATTTTAATCGAATAACGCTTTCACTCGTTAAATTGGCTGAAATGTCTCCGACTGATTTTTTAAAACCAAAATGCTTTAAATGCCTGATATTTTTGTCCGAAATGTTGCAAGGACGTTGCAAGCGCATAGACGATACTAGCTTCAAAGCAAGCACATCGTGGTAGCGTCGGCAAAGAATTTTGATGTCTCCAAATGAATTCATTCATCCACGTTTGTCTTGTCTAAAAAAATGATTTTTTAGCTGTTCAGTTTCGACAACCTAGTAGGCGGCTAAACTGGTATATATTTTTAGATCTCTGTCTCACTCGTGGATGGCGGATAGATGTATGGCGGTTATGGCCGAGTTTGACGACCCGAACATTGTCGGCACAGAGTGAGGAATATGAGCACAAGTCTTGATCTTAGGACAAAGTGAATGATCCCCCAATCCCGCTTAGGGGGATAAAGTTCACTGACAATTACTAATGTTCGGCGGGGGGGGGGGGGTGTAAATTAAAACTTAAATTTTATTTTGACTTGATCCAGCACTCAAAACAGAAATAATATTATTGTAAATTATTAAGTTTGATCTAGCCTTTTGGGATGTTGATATATAACTTGGTCTGATTTTTTTTCACTCACATCCTGAAGTTTTTTATGCCGCCTCTCTAAGCAGGCAAAAGCAAAACCAATAACAGTCGTGGTGGGTTCAGTGGTTAATAGTCATTTTGGGTGAAACCAAAGAGCTATGACGGTTTGCTTGAACAGAGCATTTAGGAATTTTGATCCAAATTAGTTTGCACAAACGAAAAGTATCAGAGCAAATGAGTTTTTTTTGCAATTTTTTTCGATACTTAGCTTACCTCTCAGTATTACCTTTATCTATTTTAGATATCGGAGCGATCAGTAAGTACAATTTCTTCATTAAAATCTACTGCTAGCAGTTTATGATGCTATGTAGTTGTTCTTCGTGGAACGTTAGAATTTGCAGAAAAGTGATTGTATCTGAACTAGGGCCTGAATGTTCCAACTGCCATTTAAATTTGGCCAAATTGTTTGTTTGATGAGAAAAATTGATGATAGTCTAAATGAAACAAAAACATTCCGCTGATTGCAACTAAACGAATCTGAAACAACAAAAACCCAGTCTTTTCAAATGCTCCAACAAAACCGGAAGCGATTTATGCTGACAATAAGGCTGTAATGAGCATCAAAATCAAACACTTAAATGTGAGTGTCAAAAAAATTAAATGTTAGGAGCGATTTCCGACGAACACTTTTTAGAACCAATAAAAAAGGTGGAGGTGTACCTGTTTTTTGAGAAAAGGTCTAAATGGCGAGGTTAAACTGAAAACTTCAACCGACAAAACTCAATCACTAATGATTCAAACCAAAATAGGAAAGAAAATTTATTTGACAATTCTTTATAAAACACCACCACCCTATAAAACACCACCCTTAAAACTTCATAAAACAATCCCTTAGTTTTTTTTCTTGGAAACGCTGATATATCACTTACTCGAGCTTGAACTCGCCACTAACACTAAGCTTCTAATATGCAGAGAGTACAATTTTACCATTAAAAAGCAAAATGATCTGTCTAAAAGTTTTGTGGAAAGTCTTAATATGTTTGACGTTAAGCTCGAATCATCACAGACAAACAAAACACTCAGAGAGCACCATCAATCTGTTTTTTACCAATTTTGAAGCCGAAGTTTAAAAAAAAGACATCTATCGCTGATGACAGCGCTTTTTGTTCTTGAAAATTGTTTTGTTTAAAGAGGAAAGCCAAAAAGCACTTCCTCGCTTTGGTAGGTCATGGAAGAAAATTTGATGATGAACATTTAAAGACCTTTTTTAATTGGAATTCAAATTAGCGTTAGAATCATTACCTCAAAATTGCTGATATTTGCCCCTCATTGAGGCTTTCATTCTACTACTAAATCAATTCAAATTACTCTGTGTACAATCTTGCCAGTTCATGAAATTAAAAGCAAAAAAATAGCAAAACCTGATGGTGCTCAAACGAAATTAAAAATGAAAGTGAAAAGAAATATAAGATATACAACCTCAACTGATTTATGGATGCACCTCAAAAACAAATGTAGATACATTGCAGAAATAAGCCAAATTTTATGACAATAATCATCACCAGGGTAAGAAAATTCGATGAAGCAGGATCGACGAGACAAAAATATAGTTTTTTCTCAATCTATGAGCTACAGTCATACGAAGTTTTAAAAATACAAACCAATTTAAATGACTCACGGATCAGAACATTACAAACAAGATCTGTAATGAACATATTTAACAAAAACATAAATTGGTGAGCGAGTGAGTCTTATTTTGAATAAGCATGACAAACTAGACAATATTATTTTGGAACGTATAATACAATGCCCAGCAACTAAATTAGAAAGCCTTGTTCATAAACTTAGATACCTCTATCTGCACATTAGTGATTTCTGTGAAAAAAATATTTGTCGAAAACTAGGCTACATTTTTTAAAGAGTAGTACATATCAAAAAACTATTAAAAAAATCTTCTTCGGTCTTATGATTTCGATCTACATCAACAGAAACGGATTAATTGAAACTTCAGGGTTCAATCGGATAACAACGAAAATCTAGGTTCTGAGTTTTCAAATTGCTCTCAATTGGAACCTGAAAACAGGCTTGCGACCTTACGGTGACCATTTGAATCGGTGCTACCAATCTTGTACATTTATATAAAAGATTTTCTGTAATTTGCTTGATTCGTGAACAAATTAATTATAATTATGATTATCTAATAGCTGTTTTTTTCATTCCAATTACTCGCAAATTTTGGCAACGGATGATTCCATGAACGGTTCTTTCTGGGAGATCGAAAACTTACAGAAACCCAATTGCACAGTACCATTTTGAAGCTTCTCGATCGTGAGTTGGAAATGTTTTGTGTTCAGTAATCGACATGTTATTATCAAATTGCCAGCCTCAACCCCCAAAGTTGCAAATTTTGTGTTTTTTGTTCGACTTTTAGTTCTTCTTCGAACCGCTAAGTTAGGAGGTTTCCCCAATGTTTCGGAATGCATTTCATGAAACATATTTTGCAAAAAATTTTGCCAGAAATCACATCATTCTCAATTTTTTCTTGCAAGATTTGCATACCATTGGCAAGAAACAAGCAATATTTTGAATTCTAAAACAAAACTATTCTTAACTTATTTTTCGGTAATTTTAAAGCTGTTTAAATTTTTTCAAGTCTGTAGCAGATACTACTAGATTATGTTGCTCAAAGGCGAAGCAAACATAAGAAAGTTGAACACATGCATGCACATTCAATGTTCTTTGAAAATTATCCATCACTTTAAAAAAAACCGTTCAAAATAGAATAACAAGAGTTGAAGTTTACAAATTTGTTTGAGTAATTAGAAGTTTTTCACCGCTAATGATTAATCCTAATCAAAGTTTCTGGCAGTTGTTTCAAATTTCAGTTGTATGCGCGAATCACTTAATTGAAACTATAAATCAAAACAAAATTTCGACGCAGTTAATTTTGTAAGATTTGTTTTCCGAATTGAGAATGGAAATTTTGCAAGACTCTGCAAGTTTCTGGCAAATAGTGCAATCTTTTCCAAGAAACTTTCATGGTTCGAGTTCCAAGTTTTTTAAAGCTGTGGTATTCACATGTGCTTAAATTTCTGTAAAAAATTGTTTCTGGAAAAAACGGATGCAGCAAATAGATTTAAGATAATGACAGATAATGTCGCGATTCAGTCTATATTTGGAAACAGTTTTTGTTATGGATTCGAGCAACACTGATTGAAAATTTTTCAGTCTTGATGAATTTAGAGTGAAAAGACGCTTTTTATTTTGGTGTCTTTCAGGCTATAGTTGCTAAGTAAATTAGAGCCGCTGGCTTTTTGTTCAGCTTTATTTCAGTTTCTCGGCCACATGCTCAGAAACGATCAAAATTTGAAAATAATTGACGAATGATTTCATAAAAAAAAAACTAATTTTTGAATTTTTCTTGCAAAACTGTCTGTGGTTGGAACTTTCTTTGATTTTTGCTCAACAACTGGTTATTCTTATTGATTGCCATAGCCCGATGAAATGGGGAGAGGTGGCCTGTTTCTTGAGCCATTACCAAATCTGGACTGAGATGGCAGCAAAGAGACTTGAACTGGTTCTTATACTCGAAGATGACACCCAATTCATTCTGAAGGACGAAGAATTTGATTTACACAACTTCCATTATGACTTGAATGCTACTATTGAAGAGTTTATTTTTCATCAAGGAGAGTTGCTGTAAGATATATAACGTTGTGCTCAGCTATCTTTGCAACTTTACTGCCTGTAGAGGTTAATCTAGTTCAGTAATTACTCTTGCGAGAGCAAATGTCTTGTAATCGTGAACTAGATTTTTTTCTCGTAAACGTCTTCTTTTTTTCTTCTGTTGAAACTGTTGCTCATTGTAGTTTCAGGTGGACTTAAGACATAATTTCTTAAAGAAAACATTATTTTAGTGCAACTGGTGTCTGCTCAAAAATGATCGGCGTTATTTCTGCCTCGTAAGTTTTGTTCCGTTGCTAATTTAAAGTTTAAATGTTTTACTTGGAATGTTTGCCCAAAATTCTTGCTTAATAAAAACAGGTAGTATGAAGTTGTATGGGACTGGATCTTTTATATTTTTGAGACGAAAAACGGGTAGCAATGGAAAGACAGCTTAGTTTACTGTCTGCCTGCATAATCTCTTGTCTCTTTCTAATTTACCCTTTTGTCTATAGCCATTGAAAAAATCTGTGGTCGGAATATATGACCCATATTTTTGGATTGTTTCCGTTTTCTCCAAAACTACCCTCCGAAATCTGATATTTTGGGTTCCAAGAGTAGAACTGGTTGCGGAAAGCTCCCCTGCATAAGCGGCTACACCCTTTTCTGTTAGAATTCATTGCTCAAAAAAGTCAATTTTTTGATTTTTTTGAATTTTTTTTGTCTTTACTTTGACTTTTCCCGAAAATCCTCTCCCAAATCTGAAACTTTCAAATCATTGAAGTCAGCGGTTTATGGAAACTTCCACTGAATTAGCGGCAACTCCGAAACTTTAAACACAAAAAGTTATGACCTTCGGAGTAGTCAAATATTTAATTTTTTGACGTTTTTTTGAACCTTCCAGCGTTTTCTCGAGAACTACCCTCCCAAATCTCAGACTTTTGGGCTCAGTCAAAATAGCGAATTGAGGGAGGCTCAGTCAAAATAGCGAACTGCATAATTGACTACGCCCAATTAATCCCCCCTCAGAGTTTCGACCCCCTGCCGACCCAAAGGGTCACCCTTTGTACTATTTTGATATATTCATTTGAGACAAACCCTAAAAGTTTTCTAAAGGCGCCTTAGGCGCCAATATATACTATTTTTGAGGGGGGAGCGCGCGCCGAAAAAAACGCAATTTTTCGGTCAAAATTTTCCAGAAAAGTGCCTAAAAACGCCTTTTTTTGCCTGTTTTTTTTTAAATATTGCCTGCGGCGCAGAAAATTGGTCAAAAAAGGGACCAAATAGTGCTTTGAGAGAGCTCGAAAAATCAATTTGGTCGATCTAAAAAAAAATCGACAAAATTTTCGAAATTTTTTTGTAAATCCGCCCCCCCCCCCCCCCCGAGAAAATTCTAGATCCGCCCCTGTCTGAAACTATGTGATTTTCTCGAAAACTACCCTCCCAATTATGAGTTTTGGGTTCAATCGAAAAACAGTTTATTTGAATTTTTTCTGCATGAGCGGCCACGCCTAATATTTTTTCCACAAAAAGCTATGATTATCGGAAAAGTCAAATTTTCGATTTGTTGATAGTTTTTTCGCCAATTCTTAGATATACTGTTTAGTCGAGAAACATGTTTCCGGTAATTTTCTCTGCTTAAGCTGCCACGACCTAAGTTTTTCAGAAAGTAAGAAACTTCGGAAAGTCAAGGTTTTGAACTTTTGACCGTTTTTTAGAAACTAACCTATCAAATCTGAGATGAATGCTTCTATCGAAAAAAACCGTTTGCGATATCTTTTTTTGTAGAAAATGCGACTACTTATTTTTTGCCAGAAGATATTATGTCCCTGCGAAGATTTCAAATTCTCAAAAAAATTTTCATTCTTTTTATTTATTTTGTGGAGAAAAACTAAGGTTTTGGTCAAAATTAATTTCTGACATTTTGAAGCTCATTTCATCCCCCATCAGTATAAAAAAATTCAAAAATAGCAAATAGGTACTTCCAGCCTTAGCTTGGCCGCTAATAATCTTCTATCGAGACATACAAACGTTAGTCCACCTAGTTTTTTTTATGTTTGTGTTGTATAGCAAGTGGCGAGAAGCTCCGCTTCGCCCCTGCGTAAACACGAGATTTTAGAAGATCATCCCTCTCTTTTATCTCGTTATATTAGGAAATTACCTCAGTTGAAATGTTTCCAGTAATAGTCCCCCTCCTAGTCTAGTGCCAAACAAGAAACAGCTGTAGTGGCTATAATGAAACAGCTGAAAATTGAAACCCTCTTAAATTGAATCTTTCCTCATAAGTTTAACGCGCTATTCGAATTAAATAATTTTAGCTATCTGGGGAGATGCAGAATAGGAGAAGATATCAAATGGAAGTCCTCGAAGTACCTGGTGAGACCTGGATTTTCCTTCTGCACCCACGCCTACATGCTCACCCTGGAAGGAGCAAGGAAACTCATCAGCACTGACATTTTATCCAGGTCGCTTTTATGCTAAGCTGCGTATATATCTAACTTGGCTTTTATGCATTTTTTCTAATGGTCAATTGAATTGCTGACCCGCGAACTCTTGAAACTTTGCCACCTTTTTGTTATTTTTTTGGGTGATATATAAACAAGCTGAAGTAAAAACTAAGTACCATTTTTTCCACACGAAAATTTTCATTCGTCACAAGGTATTGAAGTTTCCGACTTTCGAGAGAGTGACGGAATATTTCTGCTAGGGGTGGGTTTAGATCACTTCTATATAATATTTATGTCTAAGGTTTCTTAATCAGATCAATTTCGACATTTGTATTTGATAGAAATACGTTATACCATCTGAAAGACAGCGATGGCTGAATTCCAGTTTTAAAAAAGTTTTATTTGTGGATTTTTTTCTTAAAATTCTGCAGTTTGGTATTATTATTTGGCGCGTAAAATTTAATTTTTTTTTCTTCGCCCCTGCTAGCAAATGCGGCGATTGAAGCCTGTTCAGAAATTATTCTGAAGTGTTTTGAGGCACGCTTTTTAATCCAATTAGTGTTGTTAGTGTTTTTTTTTTCAAATAAATTTGAACTAAATCCGATTGTACTTTACGAGTGGATATGGGAAAAAAATTAAAATGATAACAATGTCCATTTTTTTGTTGGTTTTTTTCACACTTGCGATCAGCGTAGTGTATTAGTACAAAACTTCTATTTTCTAATCTTACTTGCAAATAAAAGTGTCCATTGAAAGTCAAAGTGTTCACTTATTTGGTGGCATTTTTACTATAATCAGGATCTAGCATTGGAAGTTTCATAGCATCTGTTCTCTGCTTTATTTGTGGCTGAGTGGTTAGTGCGTGAGACTTAAACTCTCTAGGTCGCGAAAGGTCGCAGATTTAATGAGAGACCTAGCGGAGTTTTTACTAATTCGAGATTTGTTTCTACTTCTTAATATTGCATTTTATAGAGCTGCTTTTTGTCGTTCTCTCGCTAGTGTTTGCGAACCGAAGCTTCGCCTCTGTTGAAGCATCTTTCAATCATTTTGACAGAATGCTCTTTACAGTCTGTAAGATATTAATGCATTGAGCTCGGAATTCAGAAAAAAACGTTTACTTGTTTTTTTTAAATCATGTTATGGCCGTTTAAAACGGCCAATTTGGCAAAACCGAACTACTTATGGAGGTTAAAAAATTACCAACTTGCCTCATCAATTTGGAATGATGAACTTGTGATATACTGCGTTTCTCTAACGCGTAAGGGGCGAATAAATTTGGCTCAGAACTCATTTTTGACTCAGTTTGATAAATCAAGCGAAAGATATTGTTGCCCTAAGCTCAGGTTTAGAAGTTATGTTTTACCTGTGATCATGTTTTTTTCTGTAAAATTATGGTGGTTTAAAAAATGTCAATTTTGGACAATTAAAGCGTGATATGTTCCGTGCTATTAACGCGTAGGTGGAAAATTAATCTGTCCTAGACATTGTTTCAAATGGAAATTAAGCATGCTGTTTATTCTACTTACTATTGCTTTATGTGTCACTTTTTACTTTAAATAGCTTGTGGGAAGATGATTTTCAAAAAAGAAAACTAAAAAAATATATATTTTAAGCTTTTTCTGTTTTTTTTTGAAAATTTCACATATTTCTTACAAACAAAATCCATGGAAATTTATTTGCAGTCGGAAAACTCAAGGTTTTGCCCCTATACGGGCAGTTTTGTTGGTCCTAATAATACATAACATTATTTTGACAAAGAAAAATTAATAAAAATCAAAAATTTAAGCACAAAGAGTTTGCTCGAAGCCGTTAAAAGGCAGTCAGATTATTTTGGTCAGCTTCGCCCTGCTAGAGCAGCCATCTTGCTCGACTGTTCTCTTGTTTGTGTTCGGGGGTACTTTTTTTAGACACAATTCGACTTTTTAACTCAACATGTTTGACGGGATTTTTCGGTATCATCTGATTATTATCGACCGCTTAAGATTAAAATTAAAAAATTGTTCCTACCGCAACCACTTTTAAAAAAGGTCGGGATTTAGAAATCACCAATTTGATCTCTTTGTGTAAATTTACGCGCAATATATTTCTGCCTATTAAAGAGTAAGCTGTTAATGAAACCATTCCAGATTAATTTCAGGGCAGCAATTTGATCTTGTCGAAAATTTATTAGACGCCAATTTATCTCTTGACAATTTACAGAGCGTCCGGTGGCTTAGAATGAAGATAAAATGAAAAAATCAACTCCCTGGGTTCAAATGCAAAGATATATTTTACCTCCACGAATTTAAGGGTCAATCGGAAAATTCAAGGCTTTGCCCTGATATACGAGCAGTCTTGTTTAAATTAAAATTTTTTCATCGCAAGATGAAAGGGCAGTTGAAATATCCAAGGATCCGCCTGATTCGTGCAATCCTGATCGCAACAGTCATGAAAGTCACGCAGACTCAGTAATAATGTCGTAATTTTTGTCTGGGCTATATATTCTGCTCATTTTGATTTGCTCTTACTTCGGCTGGTTTATTCGCATTCATTCTTTTTCTACCACATCCCTAATGTTTTTTCAAGTTTTTAAGCAAGGTTTTCATAGGCTTGTTGCGATCTTTTCAGCTTCCAGTAGGAGAATTTAGGCACACTATGTTTTTAAGAAAATGAAAAATAAACAGAGTGTCTAGCAGTCGTACAAACCTAGTTATAAAACCACCCCTGTTTGTCTGCAGAATTATTCCAGTGGATGAGTATTTGCCCCTTATGTACGGCCAGAACCCTCATTTTGATATCGGATGGTGGTGGGGTCAGCACAAGAAAAACGAAACAAGTTTGAAGGTATTCGCTGCCAAATGGACATTGGCCCAACAATATTCAAGGTTATTGTGACATGTCTATGGATGAGCAAATTCTAAGGATAAGCTATACTTATGGATAGGCTATGCATATGGGTAAGCCATGAAAAAGCAAACAGAAGATGAGTCGCATATTGTAGTTAACAATGAAAGTGTTTTTTCAATGAGGACACTGTTAATTGTGGAAGTCAAATGAATTCTCTTCAATTACGCTGAATTTTCTAGACAGCTGTGACCAATTGGTTGTCTGAGTTTTTTCTAGCGTTCCAGCTAGAAAACGATTAGAAAATTGATAAAATCTCGGAGTGGAAAAATAGCCGAACGCTCAAAAAACTATAATAAAAAGTCAGTGATTTATTATCTAGCAAAACTCATTTTTATCAGGAAAAAAATTCATAATTCTATAGTATCCATAGACATGCGAGTGACACTTACAATTCACTTCCCGTGTTCGAGTATGACGAAAGTGACTTCGATTGAAAAACAAGAAATTCAATTGTTCAATTAGGTGATTTATGTTTAATAATATGTAAAGATGAGAGATGCGAAAAACTAAGTTTTAGGACTATTTTATTCAATTAATGATTGCCTCACTAATGATATATTCTCAAATTTAAGATTTGCGAATTCCGATTTTTTTTTACATTTGACATAAGATCATATTGCCTGCATTGCGGTGAAACAATATTTTTTAAGCTAATTTTTTTTTGAAATTTGGGATCAGTTTACGCATGTTTCATTCTCAGATTCCATGATCCTAACTGATGTAACGGTAAAAAAAATACAATTGAAAAACTTGTATTGAAAAAAGAAGTCATCGGTGAAGTTTTATTTTTTTATGGGTCTTTTCTGTTATACGACCCGAAATTCATTGCTATTTTGATGTATGAATTATAATGCTTGATTCTGATTGGATGAAAAGTCAAAACTTTCAAATTCGAAGCGACGAAAAGTCAAAACTTTCAAATTCATTGCGCAAAAAATAACATTCAAGGGCCAAACTGTGCAATTTCCGGATTTAAACCGGACTCCACAGCAAGCCGAAAACCGTTTTGCCGCGGAATCACTTCTTTTGCTATTTCTTTTATTTTTGCTGTCTTGGATTTCACGAAAAATATTTATAATACTGTATTGCTCAAAAGCACTCCAAAAATCACCGATTTTGCGGAATTCGAAACAAAGTTTGGGGAATCCGGAAAAGTTTGTGAAATGAAGCCAAAAATCATATGTCATCTGAATTGTAAAATTACGCTGCCGCAGAGTCCACAAATTTAAGCGGAATTCTCAAGTTTTAGGCAGATTCGCATTTGTTTCTACTGGAATCAACTAACAAGTGTAGTTACGTCTTATTATAACATTTTAAAATTGAATCTGTTTTTTGTGGGTCACCAGCGAGGCCCTCTAACAGCTCAATTTCATTTACTTTCGTCAGTTTAACCTAAATTACTGCCAAAATTTCAATCACATTTTCTGTCAACAGTTTAATCCAGGTTCTTTCAACCTCAACCACTGCCAACAATTCAAATTCTTTGAATACCAAAAGAGTGAACACCTCTCCGATCTCAGATACTGAAACAATGAATACCAACTGAAATAAGCTATGTCATGGATTAATCAATAAGAAAATTCATTTTAGTTTGAACTTCATCGTAATATTTGCAAACTTTTTTATGCAAGATTTTTATTATATTTTGAACTTTAATCAAAATTTCAACTCAAATAAAAACATAAGAGCTCAGAGATTAGGTCCAGATCAATTTGGCATGATATTCTGAGTTGGTGATAATGTTACATATTTAGTCTGATTTTAGGAAATAAAAGGTTAAGTCAAAATTTAGAGTTTTAATCACAAACCTATTACCAATCCAATCCGCTCAATTTTGCGGAAACCGGAAAAACTAGCTATATTTCATGTTGCAGAATCTGCTAAAAAAAATTTGTGCCGACAAAACTTACAATACAAGTAGCTTTACGTTGAATCCACGCAAGTTTTATGAATGGAATCCACATACATTTTGGAACTTGTTTAAAGACTTGTCTCTTGATTCCAGTGTTTACAGAGACACCAAACTTTGTGCGCCTATTCAGTGCGCCTATGCAGTGCGCCTATCCAGTGCGCTGTTTAGCCTCGTAATGAGACATTTTCATCATATCTGCTTAATATTTTGTCCCAGGAGTCATCTTCGTTAATCAATTCTCAATTCTTGGTCCCATGTGGTGAAAATACCCCAACATTTATATTTTGAGCATGCTAGCCTTTCAAACATTAGTCATATGTTCAAAGTAGCAAAATTATGTTCAAAGTATCCAATGTCAAATTTATGTCGTCACCAGCTTAATCATTGCGCCAATTTCCCGCTATAAAGCGGGCAGTTTTGCTCTCCGTTTTTAAGAAATGCAATACATACCTCAAGTTTTATTTCGACAATTTAGCAAATACACTTTTATAGACAGATTCTTAGGAAGGAAAAAGATAGAGGGAATGAACTTGACGAATTGAACTTTTCTTTTTATCACCTGGAATTGAACTTGCCGATTCGATATCATATTCTCGACTCGCAGCAAACATATAGCAGGATCAAAATTGGGTGTAGCTTTAAACAACAAAACTGTTTTAGTGACTAAAAAAATGATTTCAACAAAAGATTCAATTCGGCTTTGACAAATTTAATGGTGGGAATAAAATAATTTAGAAAAAACAAATTGACGATCTGTAACGATGCGAAAAGTTATCATCCAAACTTTCATGCTTTCAACTTTTCAAACTTTTCAAACTTTCCGTATGAAACAAGCCGTATGATTCATCTCATACAATAAAAAAAATTATCACCAAGTCATATGCGAAAGTCAAAAGTGAAATGAAATTGAGGCAAAATTTCCGAAAGAGCTCACCCAGATGCATATAGTACAGCTTGTAGTACTAATCAGCGTTTTTGTTACCAGCCTGGTCTACTATTGTCATAAGTTCGAGGTCAGTAGTTTTTAAAACATGCTACGCTGCGAGGCAAAAAAAATTGCTAATTCATAATCTGATAAGTCAGTTACTCATTTTCTAAGTGATTCGATTACTCTCTCTTGGAAGCTGGAATTTTCAGGTTGAAAAAAAATTAGCTTCAAAATTGATCGCTGCAATTAATGTTAGTTAGCCTCAATAGAAAAATTAAATAATAGAAGAAATGGTCAAAAACGTGTCCAGGCATTTGTGTCCCAGACATTTGTGTCCCAGGCGAAATTGTCCAAAAGACCTGAAAACTACACAGACAAAACATCCCCAGTCATTTGTGTCCCAAACTTGTTAAGCTTCAAATGGCGGTTTTCTTGTCAGCTCATGAAAATAAACCCTTCGGAAACGTGGCTCGTCAATTATATATAACCTAAATTTGAACAAAATGGCAGAATCAGAACTACGGCAATTTTGTCTGGGAGACAAATATCTCAGAAACTTTAAGTTGTAGGACTATTTTGCCTGGGACACAATTGTCTGGGACACAAATATCTATGCACTGGTCAAAAAGAGCCATGAAATTGAGTGTTTTACACAAAATATGTCCTTAGTTTGTGTTTAATTTTGCCAATTAGTAGAGTCTTAATCCGGCTAATTTTTGCGATTTTTTGTGGCCTTGTGACAACAAAAGCATTATGGCAAAAAACTACCAGTATCTAGTATCTAATTTTAGGCTTTTAATTTCAAAAAGAATTTTTTTGCTTTTGATTCTGCAACCCTTTGACTCAGGGGCGGATCTAGGATTTTCTCGAGGGGGGGCGGATTTTCAAAAAAAATTCGAAAATTTAGACGACCTTTTTTTTTTTTTTAGGTCGACCAAAGCCCATTTTGGCTAAACTTTGTGCGCCGCAGGCAAATTTTTGAAAAGTTTTTGGGCAATTTTTGAAAAATTTTGAAAAAAAATCGCGTTTTTTTTGGCGCGCGCTCCCCCTCAAAATTAGTATATATTGGCGCCAAAGCGCCTTTAGAAAAACTTTATGGTCGGTCGGCCAAAAATGGATTTCAAAAGTATCAAAGGGGGGACCCTTTGGGTCGGCAGGGGGTCGAATCCCTGAGGGGGAGGGCGTCCAATCCCCCCCCTTCGCCCCCCCCCCCCTAAATCCGCCCCTGCTTCGACTAGTTTTTTTATATCTAAAAAATTATCTTTGTTTGTTCTAACTTATTGGTTCATTTGCTGGCGAGCATATTACTTGCTTGCGGAATGATAGTATGCTCAGAGTTGGAACCGGGCTCGACCTTTTTTTTGGGCCGGGCCGCGCCGTGCTCGGGCCTCAATTTTACGATCAGCAACCGGGCCGGGCTGGACCTGACCCGGGTCTGATTTTCAAAAAAAGTTCACACCTTTCACCGTTCAAGCTACAAACGCTCAAAAAGAGCGTGACTTCAGCAGGGCTGGGCAAATCCGGACAGCCAAGCATGCCCTCTTTTCTGCGGCAAAAGTCAGCCAAATTGAACTGCTAGGATTGCTGGCGGGCAATGAACTTATTAAATTGTGATTTTTATAAAAATTCACATTTGAATTTCAATTTACTTATTGCTAGGAAATTCGTGTTTCGAGGCCCAGCTTTGAATTTTTTGTTTCCTAACCGGGCCTGAATCAACCAAACCAGGCGGGACCCGGGCCTCAAATTCAGGCCTGGTTTTTAATTGCGTTTCTAATTGCTCTCCATTTGTTCTTCGATATCTTTTTTGATATCTTTTTTAAAAAATAATTTTGTATGCACCGCCCGCCACTGCTCAAAAAAATTAATAATTGCAATTAATTGGGCCTTTCAGTGAATTGCTTGTATAGAAAAAAAAAATTGCACCAAAATTAGATACAAACTGTTGTTTGAGGGGCTTTCAAGGGGCTTTCAAGGCGCTTTGTATTATGATACAAAAAGCCGTCAAAAACTACTATAATTTACCAAAGTTAAGTTGTTTTTTTTAACTTAAATATTCATAAATTAATCCCAAACTAGAAATTTCTGTAAGAAAAAAATCAATAAAATTGAAAGCTTTCAGAAGTGGGGAGCCTCTTTTGTCAAAAAAGGAAAATATGATATATTTAAATAAAATTTAAACTTTCAAGCAATTAGCCCTGAGACTAAGTCAGTTTCTAGCTTTGCCAGCTGCCTGAAGAAAACCTACAAAAAAAATTTTTTTCTTTGTTTTCGATTCTTGACGAATATCATTGATAGTTCGAGACAAGGGGAAAAACTAGGTGTATAAGATTTGATTGAGCTTTGTAGAAATCTAATATAATCAAATAGAATGTCATCCGGTCATAAACCTATCAAAACAAGGAAAACTTCTGGTCTTGCAGGTATTTTATTGGCTTAAATATATCCCACTGTATTTTTGGTGATCATCCTTTGTCCCAAATTGATATTGCATCAATAAACAATCATTTCCTGATTAAACAATTATATCGATGTTTCCTTCACAAGAAACATGCAGACATGAAAAAACCCTAGTGTGTGCGCAATCTTCAGAAAGATAATTTAAAACCGAAACATCAACAATAATTTTGTTTTCTCGGCAATATTGATAATTTCATCCAAAATTTGAAATAAAAAGGTTCATAACTTCACCAATAATCAGCACAGAAAACGATATAAATCGATGCAAGCTAGCCATAAGAACCAGTACTGTCCTTGGTTCAAATCGCTCTTTTTGACGGCCAGCCTTAAGTAAGGCTGATCCGAGCGAAAAAACGGTTAAAAACGGTCAAATGGGGCCACTGCCCTTTTGTTACACATGTAAAAAGGTTGGAGTATGAGGGTGTCGAACTTGCGCCAAACCGGACGGCATGCTATGTTTATTTGATAGGCTACAGCCTTCTTGTCTATAATACTTTCAGTCCACCCAAAAATTAGCTAGCATTCTTATTTACGTTTGCGCTGAAACACTGGGGGTGGATTGAGGATTAAGCTTCCCTCTAGGGTGTAGGGTATTTGATTAGTTTCTGCAGGGTTCACTTTGGTCATATTTTAAGACTCTCATTTTGGCTCACCAGCGTAAAAAAAATGGAGTTTTTATATTTTTCCAAACTTTAAAAGAATAACTCAATTTTTTTTTAAGTACCCAATGACGTCGTTTCTGCTCATTTTCTCCTCAAAAACTTGCTTGTGGTGCGAAAATGTTCGGCAAAATAGAGTCTTTCCATGTTTTAGAAGAGCTCGAAAATACCGGCGGATTCGTCAAGAACCTCAATTATATTTCATTTTTTAATTGTAGTTAAAAAGTTCTCGACGCGAAAATTTTTGATCAGTCTCGGCTAACCCCTGCTTAAACTATTCTTGAAAAAACCAGGGTAAAAAAATATGTATTGTCTTATTATATTTTTGTTTATTGTTAGATCCGTTATGTAAACTTGAACCGCAGGCCCGAGAGGAGGGTCTACATAGAAGGTGAGATGGACAGAGTGTTCCCGGGCGTACCAAGGAAACGAGTGCCGGCTGTTGATGCATTGTAAGTTTAATAACTGAAAATTTGGCTCTTTTACCGTTCCCCTGTGCCCCGTCCATCGATGTTTTTGGCGGATGATCCAAAATCAGCCATATCTCGAAGCTGAAATTCAAGCTACTAATCAGCTGAAATTGTAACTACTTCATAACAACAGTTACAATCTGCCGAATAAGGCTGTCCAGGAATAAGCTCGACACGTAGAAGAATCATCCAGTTCCTATGTTTTTTTTTGTTTTTGCTACATAACCCGGGAAAAGCACTTATTGTTCCGACCATTGAAAATTGAGATGAACTTTGCATTCGGGTGTGTTTTAGTTTCTTTTATTTTTTTCTTTTCGTTTTCCACGCAAAATTAGGTACCACAAATAATCATCGGACTGGGTTGAGTGATATATCATAAAACCTTTACAGTCTTGATTCGAACCATTTGAAAATTTCAAAAAATTTTCCCAGTGTCGAGAAAACCATTTTGAATTTTTGATTTTTCGGCTTATTTCGAGCGAACAAATTTAGCAAGCAGTCTTATTTTAGTTGCTTAAAAGTTTACATTAGCCTAATTTAAAACGTAATTTTTCGAATTTTTTTTTTGATTTTTTTTTTCGTTTTTCAAGAAATTTTTGCTTATTTTATTTTGACCGTTGAATATATCTAATCATCAGCTCGTGTTTTGCTCAGCTCGTTCTATCACACCAACAATATTTTGAAAAAATTTTTGTTGCATTTTTTATGGCCAGAACATCTTTTGTGCTACTTGCACAGTAACCAGCTAGCCTTGTTTTTTTTGGAAAGAACGAATAGAAAGAGGACTGAAAATGTTTGTCTCAAAATGGCGCTTTGTCCAGCAAGTATAAGACACCATAACGTGTTCAGGCAAGATTATTGCTACTGTGGGAGTGCCATAAGGGGATTGACACCTCAAAATATAACTATTAAGAATTCAACCTGAAGAAAGGGTCTTTTCTACCTCCTTTCACCTCTTTATTGCAATTTTTTTCAAAGCCGTTTAAAAATTTGAAACTAAAGCTTGAAATTAATATATGAGATACGATAATTAAATGCTCATCATCATGGCTGTTTGTTAAAATCACAAAAGTTCCGAGCTCCAAAAAATCTTTTCTAATGTTTATAGTTTTAATTCATAACTAACTGATCTCCAATAATCATTAGACACGTTCAAATTAGTGTACTGATTATTGAGATCAGTCAGTTATTATTTAAAACGATAAACTTTAATTAAAATTTTTGGAGCTCGGAATTTTAGTGATTTCAATTTTTAGGAGCTCGGAAATTTCTGCTCAACCAATGCTAGCCCCCAAAAGGTCAAACGGTGATTGACTAATTGTCTGACAGCTTGCTAGGTTAAACTATGACATTATGTCATTGTACATGGTTTCGGCTCATTTGCTACCTTTTTTGTTTGATTTTCATGTTCTTTGACTTTCAAAGGCATTTGCTGCTATAAATTATAGTTAATGCCAAATAGTTAATGCCAACTTTAGGAAGAGTGCTTAAACTGAAAAAAGCCTCAATTTCCTTAGATAAAGGATAGCTGAAAAGTTTTTTGTTTGCTGGAAACGTTTGAGAAATTTTGGATTTTGAAGACTATCTAGGAAGCTCTGCGCCATTTGAATTGTTCTGTTTGAAAAAAATAAAACACTTTCTGTTCATGCGAACAGTTAGAGGCTCTTGAATATTAACTGAAAGTTGTCTGACTTTTAGGGACTTGTCTGCAGACAAATTAATCAAAATGGGAGCTTCTGTTATGAAATACTACCTCAACCCACCTCATGATAACAGGTGAGATCTACGAAAGAAGAAATTATAACATTTTCTATAGTGTCATAGCTACGCAAAAGTACTCTGTTTCTGTTCTAGGCGGGATGAATTAAGAAAATTTTTGAGAGTTTGGGGCTCTTTTCGAGTGCCTCCTTTGATTTTTTTTTCTAAAATTCAATATATAAAACTCAATATACTCAACTTTTCATTAATTTCATTATTACGTTTTTGTTCGGCCGCCCAAATGAACATCCGAGCAAGTATTTACGCATTTGTAATATTTGGCGTCAAAGGCGCTTGTGAAAATCTTTTCGATTCATTCAAAAGCTTTCATCGTAAAATAGTTTCAAAGTAATCTTTTGATGGTCATGATGTCAATATTCTAAGGGAGGGGAAGGACGGGTGGGTGGGGGTTTTGCATACTTCTTCCCTAAGTCCACCCTGCCGCCTGAAATGTTGAAACACTACATCATCTACCTTTCATGAAAGTTGTTTTTTTACTGGTTTTATTTGCTGTTTCAGCCACAGATCTAGTCGGTGAGAGAACATTATCTTCCTAGTTTTTGCCATGCTTGCGGCTCTTCTGGGTTTCTCTAAAAGAACATGATAAGAACATATTGTTGAAGTTTTGAGTGCCAATCAAAAAGCAAATACACTTACATGGGCAGTGTGATTTTTGGACTGATTTGTTTTTCTGGGATAAAGTTATCAAAAATGTTCACCCTGAAGTTGATCATTTTGACTTTATATTTCTTTTTCATATTCGAATGTCAAACGTCAAATGAAAGGCAAGTTATTATCTGTCATAACAAGAAAAATAGGAAATTATTGCAAAAAAACTTGAAGAGTTTTAAGCTAGGAAATTGAATTTTAGTAATTGTTCCGACCATTGAAAGCGGGGAGAAACTTTGTATACATGTGCGTTATTTTTTCTTTTTTAATTCTCCACGCAAAATCAGGTACGACAAATAATCATCGGACTGGGTTGAGTGATATATCATATTAAAGTCTTTTAAGTCGTGATTCGAACGACATTGAAAAAGTTCAAAAAAATCCCGGTGTCGAGAATTACAAAGTACAAGAAAAGACAGTAACCTGAAAAAAATGCTGAGAACGAGGTCGGATCAATCTGTGCTATCTGCAGAGCAACCGACTATCCTTTTTTGATTTTCAAAGTTAACTTCAATCCAGTTTTCTCAAATTAATAAATGTCTTGAGAAAGTTTGCAGTTTTCATTTCAATTTAATTCTTTTGAAAAATTTTTGAAAGAACGAAATTCTAAATTTTGGTGCTCATTGCAAAAATTATCTGGAGAGGCACTTATTATAGTGGTAAGGCGATCACATTGGTATCGTTGCGATTGCATGATAGAAATGGGCTATGTTTAAGGATGCCTGATAGCTTTTCATAGATACCACAAATTTTTTCTAAATTATAAAGCCAACCCTTTGAAAATATCTCGTATGTTTTCGAAGTTAAAAAAATATTCTGAAACTTATTTCAAATTGAATCCCTAATTCGCTACCGCAGATTCGTTTGAATCCGGGGACATTGCTATTGCATATGTGCGCACGCTCAATCACCTTAATTGAACATTTTAACTCGATATGAAAAAAAGGAAAAAATTGTTATAATTTGTCTTATAGAATAACTGTGATTGGATATTTTTTGTAATAAGTGTCAGAAGCGTCTGTGAAAAACTCTTAAAAGCTTCTTGGTGTAATGATGGGAAATTTTTATCGAACTTTTCTGCAAAGAAAAAAACCTTTTTAGGTAGTTTTTGAAATCCAATGCTGAAAAAAAAAGTGTAGAGAAATTGCACGCAGCTCAATTTTTTTTCTACGCTTCTTTTAAAGTAATTTTTTAAAGTGTTGAGCTGGATCTAATCAGCAAAAGGACCAGTGTAATTGCGTTATCAAATAATCATAATTTTTTTGGTTTAAAAAGATCAGGTATTTTCTTCCAAAACTAATTGAAGCGTTTATTCATCAAATTTTAATGTTGCATAGGCCTATGAAGTGGGGAGAGGTGGGCTGTTTTCTGAGTCATTATCAAATTTGGACTGAGATGGCGGAAAAGAGTTTAGAAATGGTTCTCATTTTGGAAGATGACGTCAAGTTTGTTATAGAATGGGAACAATTTGACATTGACAACTTTCATTACGACTTGAATGCTACCATTGATGAGTTCATTCGTCACCGAGGAGAGTTGCTGTAAGATAAAAGGGCATCTTTATATTGTACAATTGGAATCTTTTACAGTCCAATTGATTTTTTCTGAGGTTATATCTACTAAACTTTTATATTTTTGGAATGAAGTGGTTGAAGTCTTGTGTTTTTTGTCCAGAAAAAACGGTTCTTGACCAAAATTGATTTTTAAATTGTTTCTCAGCTCAATTCAATCCAAAACTTTTGCTAATTAGAAAACTCACTATCTACCTCCCTTCTAACAAAAATTCAGAATTCAAGAGAACACTTTTTTGTTTCAAGTTTAAAGTTTTGCGCAAAAGATAAAAAAAAAATGGCTTTTTCAAATGTTTGATGTTGATTTTCATCTTCAATCACTCAGTTGATCTCAATAAGAACAAAAGAAATGCTTGTTTTTTGCAATTAAACGTCCCCATAACTGTAAAATTTGAAGAAAAAAAATCACGGACCAGATAATGACAAAAAGATAGGTCGTCTATCCGCAGTAAAACATTTAAGCCATTAGTAGAGACACAAAAAAACTTGAACAAAACCATAAATTTTACTCAGTTTCGTAGCCAAACAATTGAAAAAATATATAAGCCATGCGATCAGCACAACTTGTTCCAATAATTGTTTCCACTTGCTAGAGCAATTGACTTGTAATCGGGAACTAGACTTTTTTCCCGTGAACAAGTCTTCTCTTGAGCGACAAGTATCTGGTTCTTGTTTTTTTTTCCATTATGTGTTTATCTTTGTATACATGTAAGTCTTGCTTTATTGCGGTACAGCAACAATTTTCAGGCCTCTTCCCACTTGGTCCAAAGGTAAGGAACACGCTTTTGGAACTTCCGTGGTAGAGTTCGGAAGCAGGCCAGATCTTTTTTTTTGTTTCTTCAAATTCTTCAAAACTTCAATTGTCAGACTATCGCATATCTGTTTGTTTTTTGTCGACTTACGGTCTAACAAATAAAACTTAACTAAAAAAATTCCAACTACACTTGAAAGTCGGTCTGTAAGACGGAAAGTTTATCAAGTTTGATTTTGTACAATTACTTTTTGTTTTGTTTCCGTTTAGTTGAATGAGTTCAATTAATTGTTTGTCAATTTCTTCATTTTTTGCATCGTTTAAAATTTCAATCTGCTGAACGTTATCAAGTAGCAAAGAGGAGTCTCGAAATGAAGAATTACTTAAATATAATAAAGCAAGTTTGCTCATCAGAAAAGTTGAGGATACAAAAACTTCAAAGATAATGTGAAAGTCTTTAAAGCAACCGAGTCTAATTTAAAATCACTTGTAGCCGATTATAAAAAAATAAAGCACAATTGGGAATATAAGTCTTGCATACTTGCCAGTACCAAAAACATCATCTAATTATCAAAATACATGGACGTTATCGGCTCGAAAAGCACAGATTGCCAGAGCACTGGTAAACAGAAAATTAGTTTACATTTTTGATTTTTGTTTGATTTTTGGCACATATCTTCCGGCAATTACAAATGGACATGTATGGACATGTATTTACAATTTTAGTTAATTCATTTTTTGTTAAACTATTTGGACTTTTTGTTACTTGAACTGCTACCAAGTACAGTCAGACCAATAAATTTGTACTTTTTTTAATTAAAACGAGCAAAATAAAACTGTCCTGTTTTTTTTCCACGTGTTTGTCGTTTTATTTGCAACTTTGAAAGAGATAGAGTTGACAATTTGACACATCGTAGCTGAACATTTTTTCGAGATAAAACAACTGCTTATAATAATTTTTTGCATGGATTAGAGCAGCCAATTTTCCTGAAATAGTTTTTTGTCAGCTTGTTTCGATCATTAAGTGCTCAAAACGCTGATAGTTTTCGAGTATTTTTGTCATAGGAACTACTAATTCTTTCAATTTTTGTCTGTCTTTTTATTTAGCAGAAAGACTAAGTTGAGCTCCTCAGTTTCCCAACGAACCAATTTAATTCCAACATTTTATAATCTTTTTTATTGTTTGCGAGGAGGCTTCTACAGAAAGACCATCCCTTAAACCTTTTATACTTTTATTACGCCCTCTCAAATAATTTTTCAAGTTTTCATTTGGCTTCTTGCTTCCAAAAAGTTTCTCATAGCGTGTCTCAAACTTTCAACGATTTACTTTGAACAATTGCAGGTAAACATACAAACACGAGAAGAAAAATTTATTTGGTTCATAGGTTCGTTGAAATCATAAGTATCAACTACCTACTACTTCCCGAGACTGTAGTAAGATAGTTTTTTCAATCCTCATTTCAAGTTTACTGAGTTTTTTCAAAAACTATTTTTATGGACTGAAATTTCTACCCTTTATCAAAACTACTATACGTTTGAAAAATTTCTAGAGCTTTGAAAATTTTGATTAATTGGGCGTGAAATGTGCTGCGTCTTCGACTTGAAGTCCCGTCGGCTTGTTCTTCTAAACTAATCAAAATTACATTTATGTTCAGGACCGCGTGCGGTTCCCATGTGATGTTTTGCTGATTTTCTTTCCAATTACCACACCCAAGTGCGAGTCTAGGGCTTATCCAACAGTTATGCAAATTTTTTTTATCGGTTAGGCAAATAAAAAAAACATTACGGTACTGGAACCTGATCTAAACTACATTTTATTATTGGATAAATTAGATATTTTACCACTGTAAAATATTTAATTTTAACCAATCATAATCCATCTAACTAACAACCCACTTATTTGTAAGTGCTGAAATTACTTGTAGTTTCAGCACCAGAGATATTTGAATTTAACTTAGAAATTAGTTACCTCTCCAAGAGAACTTCAGCAGTCGCCATAAAGCCAGTATACTCTAGATCTATTGAGCCTAGCAGAGACTAGTTAAACACCCTGAGACTAGTAGATATAAGAGTAAGATTAGGATCGGTATTAGACTAAGAAGTTGCACGAATCTATCCGGCCGAAAATAAGATAGCGTAACGAGCAGACGGTGTACCCTATCCGAAGTTACTCTATGAGTTAACCTCAAGGACCTAACTCATCTGGTGCGACCATAAGTCTCGAATAAAGACCTTAATAGCTTAGAATTAAACAAAAATAGATTAAAAAATAGACAAAACATTTTCAAAGTGTTATACGACAATAACTTAATTGAAATGTCTCTACTACTCAATAGATCTGAGCCGCTATTCCACACAATACGAGAACTACCCGGTATTGGAAAAAGACCTCGGACAAGAGACGACATACGACTACATAGAAACTTACCATTTAGTTTCATGGTTGTACGGCAAAAGCCAACACAAACTTTTATATGTAGAATCTTATTAGCAATGAATTTAGATTTTCATTTGCAAACATAAAAACCTTGAAGCAAATCTTCAATGATCATTTCAGGCGCTAAACAAAATTACTATTGTACAATAACGATTGATAAAAACATCTCAAATCGTTCCCTCAACTTCTGCATTATTATATAAAACATACTCGAAAAAATATTTATTGAAAACAAAAATAAAAATTAGTAGCATGACAATAAATTGTTAGTATATATAAATCATCCTGTTGTTCCAGCTTCATCACCTAAACATAACAGCCCAAGTCAACTAACATCATTAAAAACTAAAACCTTTTACCAAATAAATTTAAACCATTTTAAACTTAATTTCATTTAATCTTAAATCAGATCATCAAGGCTTTCCTTGGATCTAAATAAATTTTCTATTTTATCAGTCTTAAAATTCTGATCATCAACGCTTATCCTTGGATCGAAAAGAACAATTTTGTTCTCCCCCACCCACTTATCAAGTGTCTAACGACCTCAAACGTCGATTCACTATCCAACCTTTTCAAAAGACCCAGGACTATTAGAAATTTTTAATAACACTAACCATTCAAATTAGGCTAAACAGTGAAGAATTTCGTTTATTCATTCTTCACCTGAACCCTCCTCTTACCTGACCCAGGATAAATCTTAACCTTAGTAAGTTTAAAATAGTATCTAACGAACTACTTGCGTTCTAATTACGCCTGAACCTTGCGGATCGATTTACTATTCTCCAACCCTTGAACACAATCACTACCCCTAAGTAAGATTAAGTAAGTTAACACCTTAACTTAGACTAGCCACGAGAAAGTAAAAATCATTCTTCGGAATCGATATACTTTTCTCTCCAACCCTGAACAAATGAACAAAAAGAGCCAGGTTAAGCTAACCAAAAAATCGTAAGGACTAACAGTCTAGGAAATTAAAAATCACTAATAACTTTTTGCATCCTTCATCCTAAACTTTATGTCATTAAACAATTTAGGAAATAAACAAACAATCGTTTTACACAATTGTGAAATAGACAACCAAAAATACGATCCTGTAATAACCCCACATACACAAACAGTTGGATGCATTCGAACAAAACGACAAACAATATAAAAAAAAATTATAAGTAAACGAAGACAGATAACACGAAAAAAATTTCAAAAAAGAGAAATGCATTTTCCGAATCAGAAGCCAGTAGTCTAGACGCACTATAAATTAAAAGAATCAATAAATAAAAATTGCCCCATCCATGATCAGTTATATTTTTCCGATTCAGAAACAACTTCAAATTCATCAAAAAGAGGAAAAAGAAGAATAAAAAAGCAATATAAACACAAACCAGTACATCTATAAAATTGGAATCAACCAATTAGACATATTGATAATTATAAATTAATAGTCATCAAACAAAAAAATGAGCAACACTCAGAGTGACGAAAGTCCAGATGAATTAGCAGTTTTTCCCGGATATAAAAATCAAAAGACATATTATAGGACATTATTTGAAAGACATATGTAGCCTAACACATCAATACGGAATCTACACCATAGAATTCAGCTCACCACGAACAATTCATGGTAAATATGTAATCCAAACAGACGATATTGATTTAGAATTTTCAAAAGTATTCACAGAATATATCAAAAGCATACAAAATCAAAATTCAACGAAGTTTTTGCAATAATATATAGTTATATATCTATATTAGAAAAAACAGAAGCTCAAAGTACATCACCAACCCAAAC